GATCCCACAGAGTTGGCCTCCTCAGGGTGCCGTCGGCCAGACAGTGTCGGCTAGCGACCCCCGGGGGAGAGCCTTCTATCTGGGAGCGCCTTCTCTCTGGAATGAGCTGCCCCCCGAGCTTCGTATAATTCCCCAACCTCCGGTCCTTCCGACGCGCCCTAAAAAGTTGGCTTTTCCAGCAAGCCAGCCTGGCCTGAACAAAACAAAATAAATTACTGATCATTGTTAATTTTAACTTGATTTTTTTTAAAAAAAAATGTTATTGTCAATTCTAATTGGGTTTGTTCGGGATATTCTATTTAATTTTTTAAAAAACTTTTGTATTATGTGTTTTTTTAAATGTTGTACGCCGCCCTGAATCCTTTCTGAGAAGGGTGGCATATAAATCTAATAAACCTAAACCTAAACCTGTTCTGAAATCCAAGCAAAATTAGATATGTTCAAGCAAAGACTGGATAACCAGGATAACTGGGATTTTGAATAGACTGGACTTGATTCCTAAAGGGCTCTCTTCATTTTATCTAGAGAAGCGACTCTACATCATACATCATAGGTCAAGATTTAAAGTAGAAAACAAACAAACAAACAAACTTCAGAAATGAACAAAATTCTTCAATAAACCTGTAGATGGAGACTATCTTGGAGTCACAGAAAAAAAAAAAGATATCCAAAAGAAAGTCTATAAAAATATGCCCAGTGAAGCCACATTGTTAACTAAAAAAGCTTTTAGGCTATCTACATGGATCTTTTCAATGCCCTTACAAACAGGGTATTGTATTATAGTTATTTATTTAATCTCTAAATACAGAGATTATATTAACTACATTGTAGATTACTACAATGTAATCTACAGCTGAAAAAAAATGACAAAGGGAAAATCCAACCAAGCATGCATTAGGCCTTTTGGCTAAAATTAGTAATTTTATTGAGCTCGGTCCACAAATGTTTACTAAACTGAAGCACAATTGGAATTCCTCAATAATAACAACCAATGAAAACAGATGGGCTCACCTTGGTTTCATTTATAGGAACAGCAACGGAATACTCAATTTTAGGTGGGGGATTCTCAGTTGTATCGTTCAGGTGCCTCTGAATATTCTCCAAAACATTTTCATCTTGAAGAGTTATTTCTCCTTTATTAGGAAACATAGACAAAAGCATTTCCAGTTCTGCTACTTGAAGCTCCAGACTGTCTTTTATGTTGTTAGACATCATGACAGATGCAACATCAGTAACCTAAAAAAAAGAGGTATCAAAACAGGTAAATTTTTTCTTGTCCTTGCCAGCAACGTCTAAAAAAAAATACAGTTTGGGAGCCTGATTTCTTTTTCCCCCCAATTGAAGCATTTCTTTATTAGGGTGAAGATTCATTCTCTGAGCTTGTGGATTGATTTCTGAATGTTTCCTTACCAGGCTAGGGAAAGAAACATTCGGAAACCAACCCACAAGCTTGGAGAACGAACCTCGCAACGTAATCCTATACCCGGGCAACAGATATTTGCCACTATCACAAGCATTTCTTTATGGGTAATCTATTCTTAGAAATAAAAACAAAAAAAATAGAAAAAGCCCTTTAAAATTGCAGAAGCAAAGATGCCCTCCAGGCCGTTTAAGAGATCCAAAAAAAGAACGGCTGCTTGGAAGGTACAAATAAAAGGAAATGGATGCCAATCCTCAGATTGATACAGGAAGTCCTCTATTAACGACCATTAGTCCAGTGACCATTTGAAGTTATGACAGTACTGAACAAATGGCGTTGATGATCAGTCCTCGAAGTTCCAGCTGTCCCAGAACAACTGTGTCATGTGATCAAACTCTGCTACTTGGCATCCATGACTCTTGCGTGTCCAGAATCACATGCTCACAAATTATTATTTTCCTGGCTAGCTTCCCCCATACAAAGTCAATGGGAAAGCTGGCATGGAAGGTTGCAAATACCTGAGGTAATTCTCTCCCACTCACACACCTTCTCCCTGGCAACAGTATCCCCAGGACCCACTGTGCTTGTGCCTCTCTTAGCAATTGTGTTTGCTCTCCCATCCAGCAGCCGCCACTCCAAGCCCCGCCATTCTCTGCTGTACCGCGTCACAAGTGGTGGGTTTCAATTTTTTTAGAACCGCTTCTGTAGGTGTGGCCTGCTTTGTGGGAGTGGCTTGCCGGCCATGTGACCAGGTGAGAGTGGCTTGCCAGCCATGTGACTGAATGGGAGTGGCCAACTTGTAAAATGTGGTGAAACTCACTTAACAATGCTCTTGCTTAGCAACCAAAATGTTGGCTCAGNTATATGTGGAAAAAGTTTGAAAAATTAACATTAATTGATACTGCGGCTTTTAATCCGGTGCGGCTTTTGGTCGTGAAAATACGGTAAATAAATGTTTGCAATGAATATTTCCAGAAAGAAGGCACTATGACACCAATCCTCTATTCTGATAACAGAAAAGGAAATGTCATAGATGGGCAAATGAAATTAATCACATCAGGAAAGGGACTAGAGAAATGGTATGCAGGCTCCACAATATGGAGTACTGTCTTGGCAGCCCATTTCAATAGAAAGCAAGACTCCCCCAGAGTTACTTTTAACATAATTCATTGAAGGGGAATGGAAAATTTTATAATTGTTTTAATTTTGGTTTATCTCAGAGATTGCTAAAATACCCGAGATAGTTCTTGGGTTATGACCATTTGTTAATTGACTGTTCAGATGGCCCTAACCAACTGATAACTGGTCTGTGAAGTTGCAATTATTTCAGCATTCCCATGGTCAAGTTGTCATGATTCAGGCACTTGGTCACTTGATGGTTGCAGTGTTTTGTGGTCTCATAATGACCATTTATGACCTTTCCTAATGGCTTCCCATAAGAAAAATCAATGGGAAAGTTGGTAGGAGGTTGCAAGTCACTCCTGCCGCTTTATTGCCTGTCCATTCTTATGTTCCTTAGTATCTGGCCCCAGCACATGCCCACATGCCCAAGCACTGGGGTGGCCGTCTGTGACATCCATCTACCCATAGCTCTGCCTGTTTGCCTGGGACTCTACCTCATCCCATATTATGCCCTATACATGAGGCCTTAACAACCCATAAGGTCTTGGGGTTACAATGACAGCTGAGCTTGCAATTGCTAAGCAGTGCTTTCATGTGACATTATGGTTTATGGCCACATCGCTCAGCAATGGACATTCTTATCCTACTTGCTATTGTAACCTTAGGTCTCCATGTAGAGACCTTTTTTTAAAAAAATAGTGTGAACTGATAGGGCTACTTTCCTAAACTGTGCTCTGTTTGAAATATTAAAATAATGCTGCTGCTGCTGCTTTAATTAATATCATTACCGTATTTTTCAGAGTATAAGATGCACATTTTTTCCTTTAAAAAGTTGCTGAAAATCTGGGTGCATCTCATACAGCGAATACAGTAAATAAGATTTAATAATTACTAAGAAAAGTTGATGTGTTTAGTCAAAGACTGAAGCATTTTTTCTGAGGTATTTTTGAAATTTCCACAATTCTACTATGAACACAAATAAGATGAAGGAATAAAGGGAAGAGAGTAAGGAACAATTCTGTTCCAAGATATATTTGCTTGAATTACATCTAAAAATGAAGAATACCAGGGGTCTCTAGGAGTAGACGATAACTGTACTAAATCAAAATCATATGAAGCAAACATTTTAAGGCATTCTGGCTCAGGTGTTTAGGAATTTGCTTCATTTAGAAAAAAAATCTTATCCCCCCCCCCAAATATTGGGTATTTGCCATAAGTCATTGATGTTTGTTTATTTTAGGCAAAGCTCTAATTTATAATACATATTTTGCAACTGCAATCTTGTTTATATCTGTTCTCTGAGTTAGTGGATTTTGTTTTGTAAAAGATACCATGTTTTTGACTCCCTGTAGCAAATTGTAACTAACTGTGTTGTTTACTACAAAACTCTTTGGGGATTCTACTGTGTTAAACAGAGCATTTGATTTCCTGTGTGAAACCAGAACAAGAAAATTAAAGTGTTATTTCTTCTACTTACTATCTCAGCAGAGAAAAGTGAAATATATCCTGCTCAGATTGCAGCATTTCAGTATGTATCAAATATCTGCTTGAAGGGTTACTCTGAATATTATAATTTTTTTTACATGTAGTCAATCACTCAGTACAAGAAAACACTTGGGATTTTATAGGTTTTTGACTGCAGTTTTATACATACACATCTGAGAATAAATCTCACTGAATTTAAAGGGACTTCTGAGAACAGATGGCTTGTACTCAATCTTGTCATTCTTTTGTTCTTCTGGGAAGTACGGTAAGTTACCTGACAAACACATTTTTATCTATATACCACTAGCACACTCCTGTCTGCTTATTTGTTTGTAATCTTCAGTTAGCCCAAACAATGCATTATAGTGCAAAAATCAAGTATCAATCAAAATGAAGACAAGAATGACATACCTCAAATGAACCAAGTACCTCAAATCTGCTAACTTAAAGAATGTGCACAAAAGCCAGGACCCATTATTCCTGTGTAATTGAAATTTCAAGGATCTTCACACTACTTGTATTCTAGAAGTTATGCATGTTGTAGTATCGTCAGGATTGTGATTTCCCTCAAATCCTGCTAGCTTCCCAGAAGCAAAGTCACTGGGAAAGCCGTTAGGAAGTTGTTCCTGCTTTCGCTGCATTTTTGCCTACTCTAGTCATTCTGAAACTGTTAGACAGGGATATATCCCTTAAAAGATAACCCAATGAATCATCGGCTGTCTAGTTATAATTAAATTTGCAATCGTGAAATATACCACAATATAAGTGTTTTATGTTCAAGGACATATGATTATAAACTCATTTAACTCTCATACCTTTTCCTACAAATTGAGATTTTAAAAAAAGAAAAAATGACATGTGTAATTACATCAACAACAGGGAATGTGTTCATTCTCTATCCTGTTTGGGAAGCATTAAATTAACAAAAGGGAATATATTCCCAAAGTTCTCAGCTTTCACATCACCCCACTTTTTAGCAAGAGGTGTGATCAGCCAGCATCTCTTCACTGTCCTCCAAGAAAGCTGGACTGCAAATTGAGGCAGCCTTTCTTTCTTTCTTTTTTGTAAAAGGAGGTTCAGTGGATAAGAGTGGTGCATTACATTTTTCCAGTCACCCATTTTTCAACAGAATTGTTGAAGTTGGCCACACATTTCAATTCTGGCCTTTGATATATTTTACAAGACGTGATTTGACTCTTGTGCTTGGTAGGAAAATATAAACAGTTTAGATATTAAGGTGTTTAATATACTTGTTCATAAATGATTCATGGACACCAAAATTTTACCCACTCCTGTTTTAGAAAATTTAATTGCCACTGGAGCTCTGTTTGACTAGATGTTATTTCACAAAGTAGTTTTGTTTTGGAAGCCTCACCAATTTTGGTAGATGCTCATTTTCTTAACTAATAAAATAGAAATAATACAACAAATATACTCTCAAAAATAATGTGTAAATGATAAATATATACATTTCTGCATTTTCTTTTTGCAAACAAGAGAAAGGGATGTAACTGAATTAAAAGAAAACAAAATTATATAAACAAAACTTTTGCTTTTTAGCACGGGTGAAAAATGTATTTTTCTAGAATTATGATCTAGAATCTTAAGCCAGTAAACTACATCAGATAAATTGAGTATGGGTTGTAAATCTATTTAATGGACATTTTATTTTCTTTCTCCCCCCCCCCCTTCCCTCTCCTCCCACTTTAGAAAGGAGCAGCTACTCAGGTGTTCTCAATGCAAAGTTGCAAGATACTGTGGTGCAAGCTGTCAGGTAATTATTTTAAAGCATAGATGGACAATGCAATATCTAAACTTTTAAACTAATGAAATTGTTTTCTAATTACATAGTCCTACCTGAATTGGGGTACTGTCAGGCCCCCCCAAAACCAAGAATGACATGTGGAGTTACTTCTGATTAATTCCTTTGTTGTTCACCTACAAACAGAATCTTGCCAGACTAAAGTAATTTTCTGCAAAAACCATTTAGATATACTCTGTGAATTGTTAAGAGAGGGTCCAACTTTGCTCTTTCTGCTCACTAGACAGTTTTTGCTTTACTGTCCCTTTGTCTTCTGGGAAAGAGCCCCTCCCTCCTCTCACTGGGATACATTCCACTACAGTTTTCCTGAAATAGACATGGTATTCCACATGGGGTCTGGCCAGGGCAAAGTGGAGTAGAAGAACTACTTCTGCAGCCTATATTTTATGTATGTGTTCATATACCCCAAGATAGATTTCCTTTGGAAGCAGTTGCATTTCACTGTTAGTTTACCATTAAATTCTGATTACATTGCTAATGATGACTTACACAATTCTTATTTGTATTTGTTAATCATTCTATAAAGTACATTGCAAACACTTTATACTCCATTTGAAATATACTCCAATTAAAAAAAAAACAGAGATGGAAGTAAAACATTGAAGGAGGAGGTCATTTTTTTTTTTAAAAAGTACTAACTATTAAAGGGAAAATAATTTCTTTTCACTCCTAGAAAGAAGCCTGGCTGGACCATAAACGGGAATGCAAATGTATTAAAGATATTGACCCTAATTTTCCTCCTGACTCAGTGAGGCTTGTTGGCAGGATTATTTTCAAAGTAGTAAGTTAACTTTTTATATATGATTAATTTTTGCAAAATATATCTGCACCACATCTGTTAACGTGGAAACAGATTGTATATTTCAGAGTTGAAGTGATCATTGAGATGGGGCTTCTTGAAGAAGAGGTTGAGAGAAAACTTCATTCAGTCAGATTGCCCCATGTTTTTACTTGACCAAATCCTTTGAGAATATCTTTGTATTATAAAGTGCCTATAGCAATGAGCTCAAGTGAGACTTGATGAATTGATGTTCTAACCTATGCTGGTTACAAGAGAAAATAGGAAAGGAGCCAATTTACTCCTTTGAGTCTTCTTTCCTTGACTTGTGTATATTTGACCTGGTTTTTATAAGAACTGTGTGATGTTAAGAATTGTTGCTTAGCTTGCTTGTTTTTGTCTTCTATCCCTTTCTCTTGTGTTCAAAAATCGTCTTTTGGGATTGTATTCTTGAGGAATGGAATTAACATGTATTTTATTACTTTGTGAGATCCTCTGGGTGTCTTTTGGGTTGAAAAAGCATAGTAAAATGGGCTGTGCTAAGTGACTATGTATGTGTGATTGTGTGTGATCGCTCTACAGTAATCAGCAGAAGTAAAGGTATTGCCTCTTCACTTGACTAGCTTTTAAGTTGATGGAAAAAGAAAATTAAGATAACTAGAGGCACACATTTGTATGCGTTAGGCTATACAGCTAATAGTTGGATGTGGTATGAAACAATGTCCCTTTGTATAAAGTCTTTTGAAATTATTTCAACTGCATTCTTGGGCATTTGGGCAGAAATTAGAAATAGGACAAACCAGGCAAATAAATGTAATAAATCAATCCGCCATAAGTATGGTATCAACATATACATTTTTTTGCCATTAGAGATATGATTTTATAGTTTCAGTTTCTAAATGAAATTCCACAAAAATTGCTTAAAACTAAAAATTGTATTTATGCTGTTGGCTTAAGAGTTAATCAGTTTGATCTTAGGCTGATGCTGATGCCAAATCCCATGTTTACTTCATTTCTTCAAAACAATTAATATCTCAGATATTTATGAGAGGTTGGTCTTTTGGCACCAATTTTAAAAGGGAGTCCTTGAGTAGAAGTCTTAAATATCATGTGCACTTGTTGCAACTATTCTAGCAGTGAAATAGATAAAAATAATATGTAAAAATGAATAAAATGGAGAATAAATTAAATGAATAATGATAAAATGCAAAACTCCAATAATGTTTTTCCAATCATAAAATAGCCACAATACTTTATTTCAGATGATTATTGCTTTTTGTATTCATGTATACCAGGTTTAAGAGCTGGGGTGGTGCAGTGGTTAAAATGCAATACTACAGGCTACTTCTGCCGGCTGCCAGCTGCCAGCAGTTTGACAGTTCGAGTCACACCAGCTTAGGGTTGACTCAGCCTTCTCTCCTCCAAGGTTGGTAAAATGGGGACCAAGATTGTTGGAGGCAATATGCTGACTCTGTAAACCGCTTAGAGAGGGTTGTAAAGCACTGTGAAGCAGTATATAAGTGAAAGTGCTATTGCTATTATAGCTTTTTTTAAACAGTGAAACAATTATCCAAGGTTATTTTTATTCATTAGTGTTTTTATATTCTCACCAGTTAAGGCAATCGGTATGCCCATCTGAAGAGCTGTATTCTCTTTCTGATCTTCAGTCAAGTAAGTGTTTTTGTGTATTTTCTCAATTTAAAGGGACTCTACTATGTTAAAGATGTGTGAGGACACACTATCTTTTAAACATTTTATGGTTAGCAGCTTCATGGTGAGGATTTTTGTGCTCCTTTAAATCTGATGAAGGAACTACTGTTTATAGGCAATACATATTGTGATAATAATAATGAAGGTAGAGGGTCTCCCAGTTAAATCAGGTGTTAACTGAATCAATGCAATCTAAAAAATAATTTTGGATCTCTCTGCTCCCATACCAGATATTTGACTTTGGAATATTAATGATTTTTTTTTACTCTAAATTATGTATAGTGAGATCAAAATATTATTTTATTATATATATCTTAGCAATTGCATTTATTTTAGAGGTTTTTTAGTTATTTTGGTGTGTGGGGGTTGTATATGTTTCCCTGAAAATATGACCTGTCCTGAAACTAACACCATGCCACATTTTTCGCGTGGGCAAAAATATAAGCCCATCCCTGAAAATAACCCCCCTGGACAACCCCCTCCTCCGCTCACCGATCTAGAGGTATCCCGAAGGCACCAAGCCGCGGGAGCCAGGGGGTGGGTGGAAAGGTGCTCACATTGTTTGGCGCCTTTGGGATACCGCTAGGTTGGGGAGTAGCGCTCTGCCTGGCCAGAGGGGGGAGTTGCTGAGCGGCTGCTCCCTTGCGAGCAGTCTCCCAAAGAGCCGGGCACAGCCTCGGGGTGAAGCAGCCATGAGGTGATCACGCTCATGAGCAGCTGGCTGACAAACTCCCTCTCCAGCTGAGCAGACCACCATTCACTGACCTTGGGGGTATCCCTAAGGTGTCAAGCCACGTGGCGCTCTGCCCGCGCCCCCAGCTCCTGCGGCATGGCACATTAGGGATATCCCCATGGTCAGTGCATGGAGCTCTGCCGGGATGGAGAGAGGGGTTGTGCGAGCACCTGTTCCGCCCCCAGCAAGCATGTCTTCCAGCCTCACCATGCCCTGGCCCAGCCACCGCCGCAGCGCTCTGAGCATAACTTCTTCTCAGGCTTACAAACTCCAAAATTCGGCTGCCGAGTCTCCCAGCAGCGGCTGCTTTAGGAGTGCGCTCTATGGTTGTGGGCCAGCTGCCGGACAGAGAGTCTTCCAGACAGAGAGTCTTCCAGCAACCAGCCCACACCCATAGAGCACACTCCTAGAGCGGCTGCTGTTGGAAGACTTAGCAGCCCAGTTTTGGAGTTTGGAAGCCAGAGAAGAAGATATGCTCAGAGTGTGCCGGCACCAGCGCCGGTGCCCTGGCCCTGCAGGGAGAGTTGGGCAGAGCATGGTGAGGCTGGGAGGCATGCTTGCTGGAGGTGGAACAGGTGCTCACGCAACCCCCTTCTCCAGCCGGGCAAAGCTCCATGCACTGACCTAGGGGGGTATCCCAAATGTGCCAAGCCACGAGAGCTGGGGAGCGGGCAGAACACCACGTGCCTTGGCTGTGCCCATCTCTTCAGGAGCCCGCTCGCAATGAAGCAGCTGCCTGGCAACCCCAAAACAATAAGCCCTCTCCCTATAATAAGCCCAAGGCCATATTTCATGGGGCAAAAGAAAATAAGACCATGTCTTATTTTGGGGGAAACACAGTAGTTGGATCAAATTCTGAGACTACATTGTTAATCCTTTCAAAAGAAAACCTGCAAAGTGTGTGTCACATTTTCATAGTTGGATGAGAATTCCCCACCACCCTACCCTGCTGAATCTGGGGATATAAATAATCATCAGGCTGCCTGCAGATGCAATATTAATAAAAATTATAAATTACATTGAGCTAGAATGGGGTTAGAGTGATTTATGCGCTCGTCCCCTGCTTTCATTCCTGAATTACCAGCATTCATTCATATGCACAGAGGGTGGGGAAGGATTCAAAGGTACTTTAGGAATAACATGTAAAAATGTTCTGTATGTGTCATCTTTTTTTTGTAATGTTTCATTTTTCAAGGATTATTTTTAACTCCAGAAAATTAAAACAATTCATTTACTTGATATCAGTTTAGTTCATTTGCTATTTTTTTCAATTTCATACGATATCGGAACTGAATTTTTGATCACTTGCTGTACAATTTCTATCGGGTGTATCTTCCCAGGCAATAATTAATTGTTCCAGTACAGATAATTCTGTTCTATACAATACCACTTTATTATCATTATTGATACTTCAAATTCCTCCCAAAATTTGGATGGATATAGTTTTCCTTTGCAGCACCCCCATGGTCATATGATCACAATCCAGGTCTTGGCAACTAGACTGGTTTTCTGTCTGTCCCTTCTGTGATCACCATTTATTGCCTTCCCTACAAGTTTTTGGGAAAAATGAATAAAATAATTTCTCAGAAACATCCATTTGGCTACTTTGGGGACAGACTATTGACCTAAAATATAAAATGTCTACCAACATAGCTGCTTCTTGGTTTTCACAGTTATGTTTATCTTATTTTTGTTGATTTACTTTCCCCACCCCCCAATTTTGCTCTAAGGATAATTGGGCCTTCAGGCCTGCCACATTCAATGATGTGGGAAAATGGGCGGGGGGATTATATGAAGTACGGGAGATATATAGTCATAATAACATTCCTTTCTCTTGCCCTGCACCTAGAGGAGCATGACTGGGAGGCCTGATTGGGCCATGTGATGGACATGTGGGTGCTGGGCAAGGGCTTGGACTTTCATTTGGGTGGGGAAAACCTGGAAGCTTTCAGATTTGAGTTTTCCCAGATATGCCAATATGACATCTCTAATAAAATGGAACTTTGAGGAACTTCATGCCTCAAAGTCTTTCGTGGGGTATTACTTGGAACCCTGACATTCAAATTATTGTAAGATATATTGTAAGAGCCGTGGAGGCCCATTGGTTAGAATGCAGTAGTGTAGGCTAACTCATTGCTTACTCCATGAGTTTGATTCTCACTGGCAATATGCTGACTCTAAACCGCTTAGAGGGCTATAAAGCACTGTGAAGCAGTATATAAGTGCTCTGTCTGTCTGTCTGTCTGTCTGTCTCTCTCTCTCTCTCTCTCTCTCTCTCTCTCTCTCTCTCTCTCTCTCTCTCTCATCACCTGGTGAGAAAACAAATGATCAAGAACACTCGATTAATAATTAATGGGAATATACTAAATTTCTAATTGCCTAACAGTCATTATGATTGCAACAAATTTCACAATCTTTCTCTCCAGAAATATCTCCATATTTAGTGACCTGTCAAATAAGAAGTGAATAATCTTCCCCAATCTTCCATATCTGTGGATTAAAAAAGGCATTGATGATGTCATATGATGTTATTTGAGACTTTCTGAATCTTGTAAATAACCTGGATAAAATTGCACAGGAACACTGTGAAATTTTCCTTTTCACAGGGAAGGTAGTAAGATATCCTGAGTGAAATGAAAGTATCTTCTATGGATTTGGAAAAGGATGTTTGCTATGTATTTAGGATGAAACAGCAGTCTTCCATATATGCTGTTGCGAAAAAAGAAGAGTTTTGATTAAATCACACTGAATGTCAGTATTGAGTGTCCATTGTTTCAAATTGAACCTGACATGAATTATATTTTAATCTGTATGTTTGTCTATTCATTCTATCATCTCGCTCTTTATCTTTTAGCTAATTGTTCATTTTATTAAAGGACAAGTTGTTATAAACAATTAATTTGCTATGAATTGACAGCTAGATTTTTTAAATTATTACTGCCTACAGTCAAATTGCTTTCTTATTCTTTAAAAAAAACCACATACCACTTAGGTATGCAATTTTCCACTTTTACAGCATACTTCTGATTGAAATAAATCAAGATATTGTCATCTTGCATGGGGAAAAATATTTTGAATGAAATAAAATTACTATTGTTACTGTTAAGACACTTGATTTTCTGTTTGCTGTCTCTTTGCACATCTGTTTTGTCCTAAGATTTAGCTTTTCCATTCACATAATATTTGTACAATTTGGCAATATCAACCTAGTGTTGAGACGTTATGTCAGAAATAAACTAGAATATCTTGTCTTTTTGGAGTTTGAAGCGTCCACACTGCCAAGCTGATTCTGGATTGTTTAAAGATGTTGGTACAAGATAATCCTCACACTAATATATTTCCTCTTTTTAAAGATGTTGATGAATTGAGTGAAGACATGAAAGAGGGTCTTAGGCATCTTGCTAAGACTCTGCAGCTGTATTTGACGGTGGAAATCCAAGATGTTTCTCAGCTTTTGCCGGCCTTAGATATTTTTCAGATCTTTGCAAAAGTAAGTGTTAAAAGAGATTTTTGAAAATTGAAAATATGTAGGCACTTTTCATATTCTTGTACTTTTATGTTGTTTGAAAGAGCTATTTTAAACCATAATACACTACCAGATACCGGACTGAGTGAACAGTAAATTTATATACCACTTCAGCAATTACAGATTCCCCTCTCAAGGTCAGTATTTTTTTTCTAATAGAAACAATCAGCATATTTTTTTAAAAAAGAACTATGACAAATTACATAATGCTAATATTGAAAAATAACACAAGTTTTTAAAATTAAAAATGTTTATATCTTGCTTCCTGAAAAAAAAGGCTTATGCATCCCTTTTTGTTTGAAATTGGTATCTATTGAAAAAATAATGTATCACAATGTATATTTAATGCTTACACACTCTGATGTATGCCTTGTTACTTGACTTATTTGTTACCCAGCATTAGGAATTTAATTTTTTTTCATCCTGATATAAATGTCAAGGGAGGTTAATAATGTTCTGCTGCATTTATTATCACCTATTATTTGCTTTAGATAACTGAAAGGGTGACTACGTGGAATAATTTTGTAATTTCCTACAGCAAAATATTACAGCTATAATCCACTGTAAAGTGACTTTATTTTGAGCTTTACTTTTTATCATTTTCTGCAAATCTAATGACTAATTTGCATGGTTTGTGGATCCATCATGATCCACATGAGAAGTTTGTAAGTTCAGCTGACTCAATTTCAGATTTCTTTTCACTGGTTTGAAATCATCTAATTTTTTCTTCTACTTGCTTTTTAAAATGGTTATGTAGTTTTAAATATTTTGTTGATTACATTTTTTTCGCTGTAATAAATGAATGTGTTTGAGTTTGTCTAAAACATAGTGCTTTATAGGATGAACATTATCTGCTGTTTTAATACATTATTCCTTTTTGTGGGATAAACATTAATTTTAAAAATTGTTCCAAATCGGTTTTGCTATAAAAATAAGCAGGAAAAGCTCAGAATAAGAGTATGTTTTTAAAAATAAAATAAAATTAGTGTCTGAATTAAAGCCATTAAATTTGTCTTCCTCTGTGACAAATACAATATTACTATACTAATTATATAGTATGAAGGACATAAAATTATCATAATCTATAAAATATATTTAGTTCTTTGGATAGATTTTGTGTATATATGTGTATGTGTGTGTGTGTATGTATGTTTTTTGTGTGTGTGTATATACACACACACACATATATGTGTGTGTGTATTTGTGCTGATAAATAAATAAATAACTATATTTATTTAATATATATACACACACTATATGTATATATATATATATACACACACGCACATACATACATACATACACATACATACATACACATACATATATACATATATACACACACACATACACATACATATATACATATAT